AAGGAATTAAATTATGATATCGATAAATGTAAATTAATCAATAGTTTATTATTTGAATATAAAACGTATTAATAATAATAAGTTATTATTAAAATATACATCAAATAACGTCTATTATATAAGACGTTTATAAATCTAAAAAAAATATAAAATATAAAAATAATAATTTTGTAATAAAATTATTATTAAAAGACCACTCGCATTATATGTGTTATAGTCATTTCACATGTATATATTTTTCTTATTCTTTATGAGAAAATTAATAGCGATACACTCTATTTGAAATTATTTCAAACGATTCAAATAAGATGAGAGCACGTACGCATTTTTCTCCTCTCTTTTCCAGCGATCGGAATAGAATTTAAATGTTTTTTTTATTTCTTATTAATATAAACATACTCTGTAGCCTATAGTCATGCATGAATATTCTTTATGTTAAATATATCTTGTTTGTTGCGTTGTTTATTTTATCCTTCTTACATATACGATGGGGAAGAAATTGAAAATCCACAATACAGTAACGTTCATATTTGCGCACAACTTATGTATACCTGCTTCAACTAAAATGGGTTGCAACACTAAGCTGGTATATATTATTATTGAGTTTGTATTCTATTAAACAAAATATATTTATTGTACGATAAACAGTAAGCCCATGGAAACATTTTACTATTCGAATTATTATAACTGAATGTGATAAAATAACTTTCAAATAAGACGCTTTAATGTTAATATAAGTTAAACTATTCTAGAGCTACCACGTTATCTCAGTGCCGCCCTGCATGACCATTTTGCATTTCGGGATAACAAAATGTCAAAGGAGACTAGGCCTGGCGATTGAGGGGAGCGGTAAAACGTTTTGATGGAATTTAGGGCTAGGAACTCGCGACAAGGAGGTATACAGATGAATGTGTAGGTGCATTGTCGTGTCGAAGGATCAACCCTTCCTATCCTTACAAATTTGGTCGCACATGGCGACCCTGATTTCGCAAATTCTTAATAACCTCAACGTAGAAGACACCATTGCCAGCTTTTCCTTCAGGAAGAAATGCATTAGTTCAAACTACTATTTTTCGAACAGACTACACACATAACATTAGACGAGTAATGATATCAGATGATTGATCAGTTTTTTTTTAAGTATTGATAGTGTATTTTATTTTAATTTAATATAATTATATGAACAAAAATCTAAAGAATCGCCAAAATATAATATTTTCAGGGATAATATTTTAATACTTGGAGTAGGGATACTCGATAAAAAAAGGTTATCAGGCTAACACCAGATGTTGCAGAATATTATGTATTGATTATGCAATTTCACTAAGAACAACAGTTTGGAACGATACGAAGTGTCAAACAGAATGATAAGTTAGTTTTAAAAATGTGTGGGCAATTTGTTTTGGCAAACAAAGAATGTGCGATCCTTTGTGCATGGAATGTGTGTTATTTTTTCCCCTTACTGTATACTGTGAATACTATAATACTGTTTTTTGGGTAAGTATTTAAAACATGTCTACTGCTAAATTAAATTTCGCCAATATGTATACATGAATTTGTATTCGGTATTCGCTTTATACGTTTTCGGTTGACGTATAGATTTTCCATTATAATACAATGGGAAAAATAGTTTATGTGTGACGTTCCAGCTGCTGCAAATCGACATGGCGAATCGGCAATCAAAAAACGATCATGCTTTTGATATCTTGTACGAAGGTCGATAGTGATGAAAACCTCTAAACGCATCTACGAGTAAATGATTTCTATCGTTAATCTTTGAACTGTTTCATCCCTAAGTACACATTTTACATAGCATGTAAAAAATTAGACATTTAAACACAATTGATTTAGTAACACGTGATTACATTTTCTACATTTGCCTTAATATTGACTTTTGTATACATACTACAGTGGATGTTTAAAAAATGTATTATTTTATTTCTTAAGGAGTATCCTATGTTAGTGAACTAATAAAAACGTTTTATCGCTATTCGCACGATGAATTTTGGTATTACCTAATTGACTACACCCTAAGCCATTTTTGGATGGTAGAATATTATTAAAGCATCTAATGTAAATAGTGCCACGACTAAACCGATCATTAACATCGCTGACCCATTAAATGGATTTTATATCGATCTACAGTAGCCTACATAACGTTTTCCGGTGCCAACAATCTTACACAAGAAGTGTTGGCTGGGCCGCCGATAATCTGTTTACGAATCACACCGACCAAACTTTGGAATAATTTGTCCCTTTTGCTCCTCGCCGCCCGTGGGTAAACCCTTTTGTCCCTCTATAATGCCTTTGTTAATCCTTCTTGTTCAACCAGCAAGTATCTGGTGAAATAATGAACATATAAAGCGGCCACTGAAAAACACAAACAAAACTAACAACGACAGACATCCTACGTTCGCTGTATCCAAAATGTTAGATATTAGCAGTAGTTCAACACAATGCTTCCAAGAAGTTATCCAGACAATTAAATGCATTCTGCTGATAAATATAAAGTACAATTGTTTCGCTATTGTCACTGGAAAGCAAAGAGCAATGCAAATAATTAACGAACTAATATGTCATTAGAGTCCTACTCTAAACAGATGAAAAGTGACAGTCGTGTAGATTTAATACATTATAGTATATAATATGTATATAAATTAACTTTTTGTAGAGTTTTTATCGTTGAGCTTTTATTTGGTAGAAGATTTACATAACACTACATGATATTCTTCATTTTAGACTTGTAAAGTGGAATTGTCCAACATTACGATAAGATGTGTTGAATTCATTTATAAAAATCACTAAAATTCATTGTTCTATTTCATTGTAATTTGTAATCCAAAAATAATGAACACTATTTATGCTGACAAATATGCGTAAATTAAATCATGAAGTAATGAAACTAAATTAATTATTTTGAAAATAAAAACAAGTTTTTGACCATAGAATATTTAGACTTATAGTATCAATGGTGCGTTTTTCCATCTGACTGTTTTATAATATTTTTATCAACCATTGAAAGAGATATTGAAAACAACTCATGATCACCCATAAAAACACACATTGAAAATTTAATTTTTATATTGCTCCTGTGTAAAATTTTGCAAAAAACCTTATACCCCCTTTAATTTATATTACTTGAAATGTAGGGATAGGATTATTTATTAAAGTATATCATATTATGTTTACATTAAAATCAAAATCAAATTACCAAATTACAATTAATTACACGAAAACACTTGAAAATGTAGTGTATATTTTTATCTGACAACTACAATAATCGGTAATAATAAAACTTGGATGTATTAAATTAGTTTTCACGAATACAAGTTTTATGAGCCTATTAAATTCAGCATAAGGATTGTTGTACTTTTTCAATAGACGTAAATCGTAAAAATAATAAAATAAATAGCCAATCCAAAAGATTATTCTGCTCAATGAGAACGTCATTTGACCATAAATATGATTAATGATTGCCAGTACAACGGTTATATATTGAATTCTACACACTAATGCGATATATTTTCAGAAAAGAAAAAAACAACAAGAAAACATAAAGTATAAAACAAATCGAACTAGTTTTACCAAATAAACAACAAATAGTAATAATTCTTTAGTTTTATTTATATTTGTTTGTACTTTACACTATAATAGTAGTTCCCGATTACTAGGTTATATATACTATAATAGTTATATTATTTGATTAAATGTAATATGTTTGTCTTACAACGTAACATTCAGTCGATTTTTATTATAACACAAATCGAATTTACTAAATAATTACTAAAGATAAAAAGAACCTATTATAGCTAAGAAAGTTTATCGAAAAAAAATATATTCTTGGTATATTTGTTTTATATAGATTAGTGTAATATATGCCTATGTATATTAAAAATGCAAAAGAATTTCACAATACAAAATTATCTAATCTGAAGTCCGTGAATTTCCCAAAATGAAAATTGACTAAATACTAATAAATATATAGGTATTTTAAAATCATCAATTTTTTTTTTTTAAATACACAATCTCTAAGATAACTGTCATGTATCATAATTAATATTCAATAAAATAACACTAGCGTCGTTTCGTTAACATTCACTAACCCAATTGTTTGATACAAAAGAAAAATACCCATTTTTTTCGGATAAAGCTAGTGTTAGAGTTTACGAATTAATGTTAACAGATACGACATACTAATTAAAAACTATATTATCATATTTATTGTTTTAGAAAACATATTTACTTTTCTTATGATATAAAAATATTTACTTACAAGAGTTAATTTTTAATATTTTATAAAACGATTTATGATAATTGTATAGTTTACAATACAGAATATCATGATAATAATTATAACAGAATTGTTTAGTTGCACTTTTTTAAGAAAACTACGTAGGAACAAAATAAAAAAATATTATTATCCAGTCGGTCAATAAATTTGATATAAGTTAAACTCCACAAAACTTGACGTCTCTATTAAGATAGCGAACCATTTTGATGGTTTCGTGTAAAGTGATTAGGCTCATTTGTCAGCGAAGGGTAATCGTGAGGAGGAAATGTCTCAAATAACAGTGATCTTTAAAGGTCTGTACACTTCTGGCGCACAGATAAAATACTTAATATTTGTGCTGGTCTTAGTGATTTATTTATGACGACGAGTTAAGGGGTTCCCGGCAAACGTTCGTAATCCATTTGATTGATAGCGAATAATGAGCGTCGACATCGTATACTCGAAAATTACATTTTATCTTTCGTACGTTTCTTATTTTTATTTTTTATTCGAGCTTTTATAAAGTCACGCTGTAATACCTACCTCTGTAGTCTGTTTTCGTTCCGATAATTTATTAATAATGTATACCCTAAAAATAAAAAAATCAATAATACAAATTATACAGCCGTGAAGAAATCGTTTTTATGTGGTTAAGGTTTTTTTTTTAAATATTTTATTAGCTTATTATTTACTAAATATTATATATATATATATATAATTGATTTTACAGGTATCTTGGATGCGAAAACGAGATTTGCATATTTTGACGTCCAGCATACACACTTACACGGGCGATAGCCGGTTCAGTGTGATTCACCCGGAAAAGAGCGAACAGTGGGATTTAAAGGTGGAGTTTGTTCAGAAAAGAGACGTTGGAATATATGAATGTCAGGTGAACACAGAACCCAAGATAAACTTGGCCGTGCAACTGAACGTCGAAGGTAGTACGTATAAAGATCAATTATTATTTAATAATTTTTTAACATTTACATTCTAAGTTCAACCATTGATATATCGTACAACAGTACCTAGCGGCGCGGTGTATTAGCCGGATAAAACCAGTGTCGTGCAACGTATAACTTTATAGTTTTCTATTTGAGATAAGCAAATAATTTATTGCAACAAATTTTTAGGTAACAAAATAAAATTTATCGATTCCTATAAAGTGTGAAACTTGTAAACAAATTTAGGTAACAAAAATAAAAGCATTTTGTAATCATTAATTCCAAAACTATTGACAAAATGTATACGAATAAAATATTAAACTTTTATTAACACAACGACTAACGGTAGTTGTGTTTTTCTGTTACTTAATGTTATTTGCATTACTGCAAAACGTTCAAATATGTGAATATAATAACGGTTGTCAATAAATGTATTGTTAAGATGAATATGTTTGCCACATATTTTAATATGATTATAATAAAAACACGAAAACCACAGCTGTGCTTTAGCTACTTCTCATTGGTCATAGTTACTATTACTCTGGTTAGATTTTTACTTATCTACATCAGATGCTATATTAATGATGGAATGTGTAGACAAAACTCTATTAGCAAGTAATTTTTTTATGGCCATACTTAATCTCAAAGAGACATTATAATGCCTTTGATATTCTCCAAAGTCCTAATGCAACTAAGCGAGTTAGGTTATCATTTAATTTTATACAACGAGTTTCGATCATAATTCATAAGACATGTTTAACTGACATCTAAAAAAAAGTTGAATGTAAGTTAAGTAAGATAATTAATTTTTTTCGGTAGGTATTCCAACTACAAGGAGGTAACAGGTTTCTAATATTCCAGTGCTTTCAGTTTGTATGAATGGCAAACCAAATTGATAATTATTCAAAATTATTATTAGCGTTTTTCAAAAATATTCCATTAATTTAAACTAGGTACCATCTATTTCATAATTTTCTAACGAATTCTAAATGTAAAACCATAACTGAAAGAGTAGTTTAACAGCTATTTAAATAAAACATTTTTTATTTTATTTTAACTAATACGCATAGAAAAGTAATAAAAACAAATTGAAAATACAATTTAATTCATAAAATATGAAATTGAAACAAATAAAAGTTTAATGCTTTGATAGTAATCGAGTTTTTAAATAAGTTAAACTTATTACCAGCTCGTATTGGGTAAAACCTTTCAATTTCGAAAATTTTAAGTCATAATAATATGTTGGTAACCATAAACACCAAACGGGATAGTAGATACTTTCCCGAATAGTTACACTTTCCTCGTGTACATATGTGTTACCTATTTTAACCCGGAAGAAGAAATCTCTAAGGAAAGTGCGCATCTCTAAATTCACTTCACGATGAACGTAATACAACAAGGCATAGAAGAGCTATTTCAAAACTATTAGTAGTAAAATATTATATTTTAATCTAATAGAGAATTAAACGTGTATTGGCCGTGTTACATGGGACATGTATGATACAAATTGTATTTTATAATAAAAAAAAAAGCGCACGAAAGTTATATTTTATTTAAGGTAAATATCACTCAAACAATATTACCGGGGAATGTTAGGCACTTAAATTCATTTTTCTGTCAATCATATACTAGAATAGGCCTCTGTTCTTCAGAAAATATATTTTACAGATGCCGTCGGTTGTATCGGGTTGAAAAAATAATAGTAGGGGAGAGAAAATTTTTCAACAACAATGATGTCGTGCCAACAAGAACGACAGGCATACGTACATATATTATACATGCATGCGTAGTACTTTAGCGATAGAAAACTACCAGAATACCCATTTTCACAATGTAATACGACCGAGAAATACGATAACACTCGACACCTTATTATTCAAAGTCTTCATAAAAAAAATAACGCAATAGGTGAAAACGAAAAATACAAACTACGGAAGGCGTTTCTCAATGATTCTTATTTGTATCGCTTTTAAATCTAGTCGATTTTTTTACCGTCCATTTTAATGGAAAACTCAACAATTAAAAATGATTTTTACACAAATCGCATTGATTCGTACACAGTTCTATCCTAATAGTGAGTATTTACACGATGACAAAAATACAATATTGTATAATACACTGTTAGGAAAAAAGCCAAGTCGTAATAAAATGCGAATATACGAAAAACATTTATTATTAGTCATTTTACTACTATAATATTTAAATCATTAATTAAAAACAGTTCATTATTTTAATATAAACACATTTTTAAAACATTTAAGATAATTGAATTTGACTTAAAACGTCAAATTAATGATTGATAACATATAATACTTTGTACTTGAAAAATTTACTTTTCAATAATATTAAATGTATTTTTTAATGACAAATAATACTAAAAAAGAGTCGTATTTGTCCGTAAAATAGAACATTAGTTATTACAAAATAACTTATTATTGAGGCTTATAGAACATATTATGTTTAAGTACAGAGTGATCAATTAAACGTAGGACACTTATTTACACTCAAACAATATTGCAGTTTGCAGTTTTTTTTTTTTTTGAAGATACTTTAGTTTATGTTATTTTACAATATTAGATATAGTATTCAATTTCTTATCTTTTTTATTTTTTTTTCAGAACTTTATCAACTTTAAAAACTTATATGATTCCGTATATATTTAATTATCTTTTTTAATTAAGAATAATTTGCTGATATTGTCGTATACGCACTTTTGTAGACGAAATGTCATAAACACAAACACACTGTAAATACAATTACTTAATATCTTTTACCTGACAAATAAGGTGCCTTTAATAAGTGATGCGGAAAAGGGGGCAGAGCTCTAGTCGCCTCTTCCGGGTTGATTATGCCTCGCGTGCACTGCTTATCATCTAACGCCAGGCCTCCGATTATAAATAGTAATGTCACAATTATATTGTTTAACAATTTACTATAATAAACGGGTGAATAGCCAGAACGCAAGTACTAACACTTGCATGACCCATAGCCGTACTTTGGCTTCGTCAGGAGATGCGGCCTTTATTGCAGTACACTTATTTGTTTAAGGACACTTAGTTTTTATTACCTTTAAGGAGATGAGAGAAAATGTAACACTTTTAAATTCAATTTAAAAAAAATAACTCAATTGAATAAACACACAAAAAGATTTAATGTTTATAAAAACAATGTGAAATTAAAAAGACAACTTTGATTGCAAATTCCCGGACCAATCCCAAAAGAGTGCGACCTTAAATAATAGAAATAAGTATAATTTTCGCTGTATAAACCGTTTGCCAATTGGCCTAGTTGTATTGCTTAGTTTCATAATTGTATTATTTCTCGCTTCTTCTGTGACTGGTGGGCAACCAGTTTTGAATAAATACTTTAATACAATTTAAGATTAGGACGGAAGGCGAAGTGCGGTAGTAATGTGCACAGATAAAAATAACCCTACACTCTACTCCACCTTCAGTTTTACATTTTTAACTTGATAGACCTCTAGAATTTACTAAAAAATATAAAAATTTGAATACTATTAAATATTATAAAAAACCAATCAACCCAAATACATACAAAAAGAAAAGCTAAAAAACTTAAATTATTTTCTAAGAAAATGAGGGTCTTAAGTTAAATGGATCACCCTGTATGCCTGTAAGCTATAAATATATAATTTAGACCATACATATTTTATTTTGTTGTGAGCTTTGAATAGTAGGACAGTTAACTGTCCTTTACATTAAACCCAACACATAAACAATAAGCTGGAAACAATAAAACATACTTGATTTATACTGATCGATAGACGGCTATTGTCCAGCAAAGGTCACTATAATAGGTTCATTTAAATAAAAGCAATATAATTAACTTAACAATTATTTAACTGTAATAAATACCTATTAAAGTTTTCTATTTTAAATGAAACATATTTGTAAAATAAAAAAATGTTTTGACCTTTTTTTTTATTGTATATCAATGGGTATTTCTAAGAACATGGAGATAATTTGAGGATATTAATATATTATATTTCATTTGAATGAATATTTCACACAAAGTGGTTTCCTGTTAGTAATGAACTTTTCTCTTGGAATTTCATTTTCGTTTCAAATAAATTTAAAACACGTCCGTTTACAATTGTTTTTTTTTAATTTTACTTTCTTTTGTTCTATTGTTATATTTTTAATATACATTAAACATAAATAAAACAATTATTACAATATCAAGTCGTTTCATTATCAAAAAACCCAATGACACTTATTTTATATGTTTGTCGAAACTTCACATATACATATCAGGTACTTTAGTCGACGTACATAATTGTGGCGCATGTCGTAAAATGTAACATACGTTGAACACTGATAAATATCAAAAGCGGATTATGGACAAATTCATCTATGGCCGTTGTCGCGTTGGAATTTATAAGCACTGGAATACATTAATCATTGTGTTGTCCTGTTTTACTTTGTTGCAGCTGCTCAAGCAAACATTCACGGGCCATCCGAGGTGTACGTAAAAAAAGGCAGCACAATCAGCCTGACGTGTTCAGTTAATATCCACTCGAATCCTCCTAGTTCCGTGGTATGGCTACAGGGAACTAAGGTAGTGGATTTTGACTCGCCAAGAGGCCGGGGTGGCATCAGTTTGGAAACGGAGAAAACTGAATCGGGCACAACCAGTCGTTTGCTGGTCACAAAGGCTGGATTAGCCGACACCGGTAACTACACGTGCCAGCCGAGCAACGCTAATACCGCCACCGTCTTCGTGCATGTACTTAACGGTAAGACGACCAAACGATCATTTAGAGTAATACCATTGAGTACCTATATACTCGATGGTAATACTTTGAGCGGCTCATAACAGCTGACGTCAATCACGTCAGGAACAATACGAAAAAGATTAGTTAAAAAAAACATTACCGAGAAACTGAATGGGCTCGTTAAACGCAATAAATGATGGGTGGTCAAATAATAATATTCTTATTTGAAGGGCACAGGGCAAAAACTGTAGTAGTCACATTATGAAATTTTTTTTTTTCAAATAGTTTTTTTCAATTTATGCCAATATTTTTTTTTTATTTATGTCAATAGATTGTTTAAATAAATACATTTATTATTAGAGTAGCATTTAATGTGGTTTTTTTTGTTCTTATGTAAGAGGTAGAGGAATTCACAAACTTTGTTTTTGCTACACTCTAAAATGTTCATAATGTGACAACTACGGTTTTTCCCCTGTGTCCTTCATTTCTTATTCGTTAACAATGTCTTACCGGGTAAACTGTAAAGTGTAAAATATATGCCATAAGTAAATTTATAAATAAAAAGTTTACGCCAAAAATGGTAATATTGATAAAAACACAGTTTTTAAAACTAACAATATAATATACATAGCTTTTTTTTATGTTGGGCTAAACCTCGCCAACCATTCAGGGTCGGTTCGTTCTCTGATATTGGATTACAGCATGCATTATATAGGAAAGTATGCTAGATTTCTGCGTTAAACTCAATTTCACATGCAATTATGGCTCGGATAAGTCAGTATAAGTCTTCTTCAGTAATTTTTTCTCTTTATATTTAATAGTTTTATACCGTCTTCTTTTGTTGCCGGTCGAGTCTTACAGAATTACTGATTTTCCTACCGCTAGTACTCTATGTAATCGCTTTTTTGTTAGTTCATAATAACAACTTTGGTCTCGCATTAGCTTAAAAGTGCATATAGCATAGAAAGATGTATTACCTGCAGTAATGCGTTTTTAGACTTCTTCACAATTATCATTTGAGCGGTTTAGATTTTCAACTAAATATTCTGTTGTTGTCTTTAATTTTTCAAAGCGGTACTCGCCTACCGTCAAATCGACTATGTACGAGAGACCATAATATATGTTGCATTAGATTTATATTTCCAGAAAAACACAATCATATTGTTTTATTTAATTGTTTTCATTATGATCCGTTTTACTTTTTCACATTTTGTATCAGTATTGTACCGAAACTTTGAATTACAGTTGTTCATCTTAAATTCTGCTCATTTTCTCCTAACACCGCGACCGGTACGACATCTGAATATGCTAATATCGAAATATTTCTGTCACAGTCGTATTTTCTAAGTTTTTTTTTTAAACTTTCCTTAATGTTTATTTTTTAGGATGATATAGAAAAAAAATATAGAGGCTAGCCTGTCATCTATCGTCTCGGCTGTTGTTTTGAATTCTTCTGGCAACTCTCTGGAATCATTGCAAAATACCTAATGAATACCCCGATTATGTTTTAGCAATTAATAAGTAACACAATTTAATACAAAAAAACACCACATATGTTTAAATTTATAATCATATTTTCACAAGTTGATATTTTTGCTAAATAATACTTAGAATGTGTTAAAACATCCATGGACAGAAATATTAACTTGATAACTAATACACCAAAGTTTTTTAACCTTATATAAATGATGGTGTTCGGGTTGTCATTTGGCTGTAATAAGTGACGGTGCTTAAACACTGTAAGTATTAGAAAATCCCATTGAAACGATAATATTGGTTTACTAAAAATGAAGAGTTCAGGGCAAAAATGAACCAAGTCCATTACAGATTTTTCCAGTAATTGGCTACTAAATTGTTTTTCGCATAATCTACTCTGTGGTAAAATGCAGTATACATGATGCCATTTTGCAGCATTAAGATGGATTGAGTACTTGGTTCACTGGGGCACTAAAACATATTACTTTTACCCCTATTTTGTGAGAAAACCCTCACAATGTGAAAAAACGGACTTAGTTCACTCTTGCACTGAAATCTCCAAACAATAAGGAATTAAGAACCTAGAAATAGTTTTATGAGTTATATATTTTGTTAAATTTGATAGTTTCTACGATGTCCGTAGTCTCCGTACTAGCCATGTTTTTATTTTCAAAATTAAAAACCCTAAAATTATACTTGTAATATAAAATTGATTTGTCTTCGTTATTCTTGTATTTAGGCTAGCACAGGGTATTGTGATTTTATAGTTCTGAAAGTCTCCAGTTTCGACTTAGGATGGGCATAAAAATTCATTCGGTGTCATCATTTTTTTTGTACAAGGCACCGAATTTACAGGTGTATTCACGTCTAAATGTGGCTCGATAAGGAACTTTTGTTTCAAACAAATTTTATTCACGGCCCAAGGTACATTTTGAAATTATGCGGTTGTTTGGACACAGTTGTTGTGAATTTGGAAGCAGCACACATTATTACAGACTACACGACACAAAGATTGTTTATTAAATTATGAAACACCTGGAACCGTGTTTATGAATAATTTAATGCATACTCACTTATTTTGGGGTATTTTTTTTTTTACAGGTGAACATCCCGCAGCTATGCAACACGGAGAACATGGCGCTGGTTCTAAGCTAGCAGCATGGTCTTGGACCCTTACAATGGCTGGTTTTGCCCTTTCATACAGATGATGTTAACAGTTTTAGATACATTCGACCCATTTCGTCGCTCAGTGAGTTCAAAAATAAAATGTATATGACACATTCAGTGGAAATGTAATATTATGACTCATGCGTTTTGTAATTTATTTTTATTTTTTATTGTACATTACAATAATTTGAATAATTTTGTGTACAAAATAATCATTTAAAACCACATTATGATGTTGCTTGTGAAGTGCGTTCATTATATTATTCGTTAGTGTACAACGATTATGTCAAAAAATTATCCGTTTGCCCCAAAAATATAATAATATTGTCTTACCGAAGTATGCCATACTAGCTTTTTTTTTATCAACCACTGTGCTAAATATTTAGCACACCAGTATAAGTAGTTTCGTAAACTTTTTTATTTGCTTTTAAGTTTTAAAATATGTTTAATGGAACGTCTTTTTTATTATTCATATCCATAAGCTCAACATCATTTACTAGTAACAAATATAAAAAAAATTATTTATACAAAAATTATTTTATTTACTCACTTTAGACATACCTAATACATATTTTGTTTTTTATGATTAATTTCGCAAAATAAATTACGATTATTATTACTTACTAAATAATGATAATTTATTTAATTTCGCCGTTTTTGCGTTGTTTACCAATGATTATTTGGTCAATGTTTGAATTGTCTAATAAAAACAATTAATAAAATAAAATGTTTCTAATCTCATTAATCGTAAATATTACTTAGCTCGTAATTGTTTTAAGTTTACTAATGTATTTTAAGATATATAATAAAGTTATTCAGTCATGATTATTTTTAATGCCCAAGTAACTTTGAATTAATATCCGTCACTGCATTCAAGTAAAATTGGATTCTAAGCGAAGCCAATGTTGTTATACACATTACACATAACTATACATATACCTATTGCTATTGACTCCAGATCGAATATAAGGAGTAATTATTAATTATCAAATATTTGTTTAACAGTAAAAAAATAATGCATCTTCTATTTCAATTCGCTATAAAACATATTTAAAATACATTTATGTTATGGTTATTAAATATTTTCCAATCGGGTGTTTAAAAAAATGTCCTAGACATAAATGACATACGATTTTAGTAACATTAATCATTTTACTACAATAAGTATCATTACCTAATGCTAACTAATATACAACGATTATGCTTATCTTGTTTTGTTGCATAAGCTAACTATGCTAACCCATTTTAGGTCATTACTTGAAAAACATCTTAAAGCATATTTTAGCATTTTACATTAAATGTAGACAATATTGATAAACGGTATTTAAAAAGATATGCTGACATAATATTACCATCTTAAAATGAATACACAACCTTCGCTTAGAATCATTATGAAATAAGTGATAAACAATCTGTTTCAAAATACTGCCCTGAACTACGCTAATTGTATACCCAAATTTTAGTTTACTCATATTTTGTCCTCATTTTCATTCTTAAAAGTAGGGGGAAAAATGTATTAAATATAATATTTTCGTTTTGTTATTTTTTATGTTTTCATTTACGCTTATAATTTTTACAATTTGTTCATTATTTATTACATATAAATATTAAATATATTATATTATGATGTATCGGTACCTACCCGTTTTTAGAATTATTATAGTAATAATAGTGTATTATAATTTATAATAGTAAAATAGGTATATAATAATAACAATATCAGTTACCCTTGTACTTAGTTTTTAAAACAAAAATTATTGAAATGTAAATAAAAAAGAAAATAATATGTAAGTAAAACTATATGTCATACACGTCGGTTAGCGGTTATATTATTCTAATAGTTCAACAATGTCATTAAAATGAATACATCTTAAATTACTATAATATATAATTTTAGGACAACATTTCAATTTGAAAGTAATTACTTATTCATATTGTTATTAAAATTGTTACCTATGTTTAAAACATTACATTTGTTTTGTTTTACTTAAATTAATAAAAACACTGACGTTAATTAAACGTGTTTTATCAACTTCCAAAACAAATACTCCATTGTAAGTACGACATTTTAATAAAAAAATGTATTTTTTATTTAAACAGCAAACGTTTGTGTTTGTACTGTAGGAGAACCCAGCAACTTCATAGATAAAGGTTAGTCTTCAAACAAAATGTCCAAAAGGCGAGACTGAAACCGCGTGAATTCTATTGCGCTTTAATTTCATTTTTAAATCCTATAGTAAGTAATTTTATAAGCATTAAGGCTTCCAAAGTCGGTATGGCAAGTATATATATTTGGTGTATATATAAAAAAATTAATCAAAAATTTACCACGGCTTTTCTTATAGCTGATGTTTTTTTCAACGGATTGAGCTTATGAAAAAAGTAAATCTCATATTATGGTAATATATATTTTAGTAAAAAAAAAAGAGATTTGCTTATTTATTTTTAAAAAGCATTATCCTAATTAGTTGAATGACCCAGACCCCATAATTTGTTTTTTATTATAACATTCATGTTTAGTTTATAGAACAACGCTTTTTTTACACTCTTTCGACTTAATGTTGTTTAATTATTTTTTAAATTGTGCGTTACATATTATATACTAAAATATCGAAAAATAATGAGTTTATACTATGACTAACTATATAATTCCCCAGTTTACCATTATTTATAATCAATCAATTATAGATTATAACACTAGCTACAAACAAAATGCATGTTAAAAGGTAAGTAATTTCTCTGTATAGTTTTCAAGTTTAAATTGTTCTGTGAAAAATAGTGACTTAAAAAAATGTAAATAAACCATTGTATAAAATATGTATATACTTTGTCGAAATAAAATGTTTTAATCATGAATCTCTTCGTTTAAAAAGAATCTTATTTTAAAACATTAGATAGTCCATATTTTACACATCAACAAAATTAGGTATATTTTATATCCTTTTAAAATATAAACAACAATTGTTCCAAGAACAATTATTATCACATAATTATCTAAAGAAGTATAAAGAAAATTAGATACTTGAGACAACTTAGCCGGGGACTTAAGGAGATTACCCTGGTCTTGCAAAATTTCCTTACAGTTCTGCAGACAAAGATTTTGTAGGTACTATTATTTTTTATATAAAAATGTTGTATTATTTTTATTAATAACAATGTAATTTTAATAATAATTCGTATAATGATAATAAGAAAAACATTTTAAATTTCACTGTTTTAAAAATTTACAAACATTCGCCAATTATTTTTATATCAAAGGTTTTTAATTAAATAAAACCATCAAACAAAATATTCAAGAATTAAACTTTAAAAAAGATTCGGATTTGCAACTAAGTTTAAAATAATGATTTTTTTAAACGAGAAAAAACGAGGTAGTCGAGATTTAAACTTTAAACAATTCCATAATTATGCGCAAGTTAATAAAAGTAGAAACATGTTTACAAAATTCTTTAGGTTAAAAAATTCTCACTATAAACTATTCGGTTGTCATTTAATTAATTATATTTTTATCTTAAAACACAGTATTTTTTTAATTAAAAAAAAGATAGTATAGTCAAGAGACCTTTTTCATGGAAACAATTCAAGTTTTCAAGAATAAGTTGTAGAAACGCGTGTAAAATCGCATTTTTTTCTTCAATACCGATAATGATAAAACTTTTTACTTAACCGATAACTTCTACAATAGATAATTAATGTTTTTTAATGCTTAGATCAAATCATTTTTACTTGGGAAATCTCCAGTTACCAAGATGATAAAATGACTTATAAATTCATTCCGCTTCGAAACAAGATGATTAAATATTCAAACTACTTAACGACTACAGAAATATAAAACGTAATAATACTACTCAGTTGAAAGAATATATATATATCAACGATTACTATTTAGGTGAAGTCTTGATTTTAGATAAAAACATTTTTTTTTAATTTACCCCATTATGAATTTCCCAACCCAATTCCATCATAACAAGATATAGTTTTCCATCTACACTTAGGTTTTTTAAATTTTTAAACAGAGATTAATTATTATTGTTGAAAACAATTAATACTACATGAATAGCAGTAGTCATAAATCAAGTAATAAAATAAATAAAAACCTACCCTCTCAATTGATAGTAGAGTCATTCCATGCCTCAAACTTATATATTCTATGCAAATAGTTCCATAATATCGAAAAAGTGAAGAAAACAACTGTTAAACAAATTGTTGGACTTAGGCGATTGTATATTCCGTAAATTTATTGTAATTGTAAAAACACCTTAATTCACGGCCACGTTACTTAATGAATAATTATGATATTGAAATGAAATTTTCACTGAACAATTGTAATTTAAGTGTTCTTTTTTATAATATTCTTAAACAATTTTTCTTTCTTATTTTTAAGTAGCTAAAAATTGAAAAACAGATTCAACATTTTATAAATTTCATTAAGTTATTATGCTGACTTAAAGTAAAAATTTAAAAAAAAAATGTTTATTTTACCACATCTAACTACAATCTTTTGATTCGTAATTTTTTTTGTACACTTTTTTTTTATATAATGTATAAATAACTTCAAAGTTTGGTATTTTACTAAATAGTACAATACTTATAAGCCTATAACTTTTTAGGGCTTGAACTAAAAATTCTAGTAAAAGTTTTGTAATGGAGACTTGTTTTTACTAGAATTTGTATGAACTTGAATAATAAGATGTTGTGCGTGGTTTTTTAAAATAAAAAATTCGAAAAATCCAAGTTCCAGTAAACTCCTAGTAAAAATAAGTCTCCCTTAGGAAAATGTTACTAGATATTCTGGTATATACGTATACGTAACTGGTGCTGGTACACATTTCAGAATTTTTACAGACGGGAAAGACACGGAACACACAATATAGGCACGGGTTATGTTTTCGCGCAGTGGGTGCTTTTGACTCGTTTGCCCGTGGCCGACAACTTTCATTATAATAATATATCCTGTTGGGGAGGGTTGTACCGCCGACGTTTATAAATGTCATGTAATGAAAAATGGATTTGACGTGGTAGTCCACTAACGGCAAACGCTCATGCACTGACGATCGGTGATTAATCGCGAGGTCATTTCAACGTGTATATGCATTTTCCATTGCCACTTTTGTTTTGCACAACCCGAAGATTTATTGACATTTTCGGCGGACTTCTCTTACACCGTTCCGTCGGCACTTTTGCCGGCCCGTAGCGCCCCGCCTGTGGATTTCATGGTCCACGTAGTTTTTCCATTCGCCAACATAATCGGCCGGAAGCCGGCTGCTGCCGAATCATGCGAAAATCTTTTGTTTCTAGAGCACAAAACACTGATGATGGACGTGTTGTGGTCGCGGTGCACACCGCCGGTGCGTTTTTATATTATATTTTTCTAGTACTGTAGTTACAAAACCGTTTGCTACGCGCGACCTCTTCTTGTACAGCTGTTACGGGTTAAGTTTTAGCGCCGCCAATAAATAGTAGTCTCGTGTCTTTCTG